AGAAAGGGAGGAAAGACAGCAGAAACAAAAATGGAAGCAGTAGAAAATTTACTTTGAAGGTAGTTACTATCATAGAAGATCTTGGTAAAGCAACAAATTCACTTGATGTCACTCGTAGCTTATGGATAGAAGTGTTTAACAGCATTAATTATAACAAGCATCAAATATTCCAATTATTTACTTTCCTCCATTTCATAGTCCGTATATAAAGTTATAAAATATCCCTTATATTCCATTGCTTCAGTTCCTTTCCAATCAACAACCCCAACCCCCCTTATGGTCATAGACACTACCGCCAGATAAAGCTTCTAGGGAAGACCGACATGATAAAAGAGATAAATAGAGACAGAAGTATGGAGAGAAAGAGAGAGATAACATAGATTGAAGGAGGTTTTAGGAAAATTATAAGACTTGTAGTTTGAGAGAGATGGTTGTTGAGTAATGGGGTGTTGAAGAAAAAACGCTTTGAAAGTTCTCTATCAGTTCATTTGCCACTATCATTGTGTACAGAAAAAATTGAAGGCAACAACAAAGAGGTGACATTCATGATGTTATCGAAAAATAGAAAGAAAATGAATGATTCTTATTCTCTTAGTACCATCAATTATAGAATCTTACATGAGTTTGAGAATGACATTTTCCTATGCAATTTTATGGTTTGTGTACTTATGATTTCTATATTTGGTTTTGTGTTATGTTTTGGTTTCTTTTACATGGTCTTATATATCTTTTCTAAAGCCTGTGATGCTTTGGTGTGAACACACAAAGTTATTGTAGCCTCAGTAAGCTACAAGCATTGAGGGGAGGGGGTTTGTGTACTTATTGTAGCCTCTATTAAGCATGGTAATTATTGTGATTTAGGGGAGGATTTGTATGGAGTTAATTATTTTTAATTTTGTTTGTGGTTGTGGTTGTGGTGAGAAATGTGATTTTTGTTAGCTATGTTTTATGTTATATATTTGTAGGTGCGAAATTTGTTTTTGTTACCTATGTTTTATGTTTTATATTGGTGGGTGCGGAATTTCTCTCTCTTAGCCATGTTTTATGTTTTTATCAAGCTTTTATTTTCACTTATATATAAAGTGGTGATCATTTTGGCTTCTAAGTACTTTGTGCTTATATAAACTATATTTTTCAGGTTCTTCGGATTTGGCTACTATGAAGTTTTGTCATGTAGAGCTTTTGAAATGCATGAAACTTCTACTTACGTTTATGTAGCTTTTGAAATTGATTGAACGTGTAAATCCAAAAACTTTTGAAATATGTGAACCTGAATGATATTTTGATATTTAATATATTTTGGTATTTGATATTTTGGTATTTGATAAATTTTGGTATTCGATATTTTGGTATTTAATATTTTGGTATTTGACTTTCAAATCATGTATCCGAAAAATGTTGGAATTGAAATTAGCGCATTTTATTTTAGAAAAAAATTAAATATATATTGCCAAATTTTTTTATAAAGACGTCGGTAAAACTATAAATATATTGACGTTTGCAAAACCTTGGCAGAATAGTAGATCTGCCGACGTTTTTAAAAGCGTTGGCAGAATAGTAGATGTGCCAACATTTTGGAAAACGTTGGCAGATGAAACTTTTGCCAACATTTTGAAAAACGTTGGCAGATGGAAACTTCTGCCAACGTTTTCATAACTTCGGCAATTTTGCTAACGTTTCTCTAAAACATTAGCAGAAGTTTCCATCTGGCAACGTGATGTGCCGACGTTTAGAAAAAGTTGACAAAAAGTCAGCCCTACCAATGTTTTTCGAAGGTCGGAAAAAGTATGGTTCTGCCAACATTTTTCAAAAAAACGTTGGCAATGTGCTTTTCCAACGCACTTTTGCAGACTTTTTTACCCACGAATATTTAATGTCAGGAGAAACTACTCCCAACGTTTTTTTGCTCTTTTCCCAACGTTTTATAGCGTTGGGAAAAATAGTGAATGTTGGGCGCCTAGGCGCTACGAATGTTGAAGCGTTGGTTTTTGCTGGCACGTGTTTGGGCGCTTTGGTGCCGAAATTGAGCGCCTAGGCGTTCGCTATAGAATTTTGTTAAATATATCATTTTAACCCTAGCCGCCGGGAGGAAAAATAAAGAGAGAAGAGACGTTTTTAGAGAGAAAAGTGGGGATTTTGAGAAGATCAGAAGGAACGCGAAGAATGGAGGCTTGAGAGATCGCCGGATTTGTTTTCTTTCTCTTCTTCTTTCTCTCCTTTAGCTTCAACTTCCTTGAATGATGTTGATTGAGATTTTCTTTTTCGATTCAAGCATGAACTAAATATATTTTCTATGGAATTGATGTAGCATTTATCAAACTTGACTCTTTTGTGTTCTTTATTTGATTTTGTTTCTAAACTTGTTGGTTGTGAGAACTTTTTATATTCTTAATGCATTGTTGAGATTTGGTCATTCTTTACATTGATTCATGGTCATAAATCAAGGTTGAGAAACAAGATTATTGACTAGATTTGAATAGTTCCCCCAAATTAAAGCAAGAGATAGAGATATTCTTGTGAATTTTGTGGCATAGTTTTTGGGTTCTACGTGCTTAATTATTTGAATCGTCGGAGTAGTCATAGAGATATAGATACTCTACTTTTCGAAGAAAATCGTTATTGCTTGAGAAAGAATATCGAGTCAATAGGGTAGAATTTGCCAACAACCATTGTTTAGAAATGATTTGAATAAAGTAGTAGGAAGAGTTAAAGGGCGATATCAGTGAAGTCATGCTCTAGAGTTTAATTTGCTTGAATTGATTCTGGATAGTTGTGATATTTTCTTTTGTTTTATATCGAGTTTCTTTTAGAATTACTTCATTTCACGACCATTAAACGTTCGACATTCAGATAAAATTGAAGTGGAGAATTTGGTAATTAGTAATCATTTATTTCCTGTGGAGACGATACTTTACGTACTTCTATATTACTTGTCACGATTCGTACACTTGCGAATTCGAACAACAACTTGACTAATGTAAGTGAAATAATTCTTGAACTTCCAAAAGCTCATGCCGATACCCCATGACATATATTAATTCCTTAATATATGTTGTCTCGCGATATAATTTTGCCAAAGTGCTATTAAATGTTATGCATGCACACCTTGAGTTCTTATGAGATCTCTAAAAAGAAAAATCTCTTATTCTTTCATGGAAGGCCAAACTCACATTTAAACAATTTTGTCAAGTCTATATCATGATAGGTCACCATAGATCATTCAATAATAGAGATATAGACTCATATTTCATCAAAATCATTCATCAAGTCTATTCTAGAACCACCTAAATATAAGGCTATAGATTTAAATGCTACATGTGACTTTGTTTGAACACTCAATGGTTTCCACCACAATTCTAAATCCAAGAACTTTAATAGCAGCTTGTGAATCACAATGCTATGATACTAGGATAAATGATGGTCCCCACAATGGAATGCACCGAATAAGTTTTCCAACCACTCATCTTCTTGACAATCTAGTTCAAGATCTACGAATTTTGATTCCATGGTAGAGTGAGCAATTGATAAGTGAATTTTTGGACTTGTAGTTTAGGGTGTTTTTGAGTTATTTGATAGTTTTTACGGACATTTTCTTTGGGTGGATTAATCATTTTTAATATTTCTTTCTTTTGTAGGACTTGAGTTGAAGAAGAGGAGAAAAAGAGTAAATAAAGAAGCAAAAGCGAGCCAAATTCCAGTACATTAGGTGCCTACGCGCCTAAAAATGACAAAATGGCAGAATGTTGGGTGCTTAGGCGTCGAAATTTGACAGAATTGCAGTATGTTAGGTGCTTGGGCATTGCGAATGTTGAAGCGAATTTTTCATGCACGCGTTTGGGTGCCTAAGCACCGAAATTGGGTATCGCTGTCAACAAAATTTTTGTTAAATATCTCATTTTAGCCCTAGTGGCAAAGAAAGAAAACAAAGAGATTTTGGACGAAAAATTATTTTTTAGAAAGAAAAGTTGGGAGGAACACGAAGAACAGAGGCTTGAGAGATCGTCGGATTGTTTTCTTTCTCTCATTTAGCTTCAACTTCCTTCAATGTTGTTGATTGAGATTTTATTTTTGGATTCAAGCATGAACTAAATAAATTTTTCTAGGGTATTGATGTAGCCTTTATCAAACTTTACTCTTTCATGTTCTTTATTTGATTTCCTTTCTAAACTTGCGTGGTTATGATAGCTTTTTCTATTCTTTATGCATTGTTTAGATTTAGCCATTATTTATATTGATTCCTTATCAGAAACGAGGTTGAGAAACAAGATTATTGACTAGATTTGAATAGTTTTCCTAGATTGAAGCAAGAGATAGAGATATTTTTGTGAATTTTGTGGCATATTTTTGGGTTCCACGTACTTAATTATTTGAATTGTTCGAGTAGTTATAGAGATATAGATACTCTCACTACAAGAAAAAGGAGTTTTAGAGACACAAAAAATGTCGCTGAAAACCCCAATTTGTTGCTAAAACTTTCAGCGACGAGAACTGGTTCGTCGCTGATAACGTTGTAGATAACTCGTCGTTTAAAGTTTCAGCGACATCGTCGGTCTGTCGCTCAAAATAATCTTCAGCGACAATAAATGGTGAAGCTGAAATCATTTTCAGCGACATAATTCGATGTCGTTGAAAATGGTAAATAGCGACATCTGCTAGTGTCGCATAAAATGCTTTTCAGCGACATCAATTGCTATATACCATTTTCAGCAATAAAATTTTATACCAGATATGTTATCTAATAATGTCTCTAAAAACTGGTTCCAGAAACCACATATGCTATTTTCCAGCTTTTTTCCAATTTCATCTTCAATTTTTCTCAATTTCTGATTAAAACGACATATACATAAAAGGTCGTTGAAAAATATTTTTAATATTAAAAGTACGAAAAAGGAAATTCAAATCAGAGAAAATACAGCCTTTTTCCTTGTCTTCTATTAATTTTCTTAAAAGTCCACATATCTCCTGAGACATAAGAAAACTGGCTTAACCGGTGGAGAGATTAAAAAATCCTAGTGGACCTTATGTGTTTTTGAAACATATAGAAACTACACCACCCTTCTATCAACCAACCAAATCATATCCCTAAACTTCCAGTGAATCCTGAAGCAACTCCGAAACCAACCTCCATGGCCACAATTTCCAGTGAACCCTGGAGGAAGGTATTGATAACAGGGGTGAGCAAAGGGATAGGAAGAGCTCTAGCGCTCGAGTTAGCGAGCGGTGGCCACACTATTATCGGGTGCTCACGCGACCAAACTAAACTCGATTCCCTTCGAGAAGAACTTCTTAGGTCGTCTCCCGCACAACATTTGCTCCTCAATGTTGACGTGGTTTGTATCTGCATATTCTTAATTCGCTAAAATTACTTCTAATAACAATGAATGAATGAATCAATATTGGTTTGTTGGTTTTGCAGACATCCAACGATAGCGTTGAAGAGTTTGCAAAAATTGTTGTGGAAAATAAACTCGTTCCCGACATAATTGGTATTTTTTTACACCCTTGTTCTTGTAGATCCTTATTTTTAACAGGCATTTGAGAAACTGAGGATGCGTGGACTGATGGTGGTCACTGGTCAGTGAACAATGCAGCTATAGTTAATAGACAAGGTAAAATATGGGAGATTGATGTACAAGACTTTGATAATGTAATTGATACCAACATCAAAGGGACAGCAAATATTCTACGTCATTTCATTCCGCTTATGATTCATAACAAGCAAGGGATTATCGTCAACATGTCTTCAGATGCCGGAAGAAATCCATATAAACTGGTACTTTTCTTTTTAGTACAACAAATGCGGAAGGAATTTGAATTTTATGATGTTTTGATCAAATACGGATACCAATTACTCTTGAGTTACATATAAATTGGTACTTTATAATACTTTAAATTAAACAAATTTTATGCAAGTGCCTAACACTCCATATTGATTGATTTGTTATCATCTGGAGGTTTGTAACCATATTGTGTTTATTTTCTTTCCTGTAATAGTGGATAAAACATTTATCAAATAGACTCCAAGATCCAATTTAAAAGTCCAGTTTTTTATTTTTTATTTTCTGGTGATCTATATCTCGTAGATTACACCATATTGTGCATCAAAGTGGGGTGTCGAGGGATTAAGCAAATCCGTAGCGAAAGAGTTGCCAGAGGGAATGACAATTGTTGCCTTAGATCCTGGAATCATAAACACAGACATGCTCGTTTCATGCGTCGGTGATTTGGCTTCACAATATCAGTCTCCTCGTCATTGGTATGAAGTATTATTATTAATTGATTTTCTGCCTTCTTTCATAATATCATAATGTGAGAATTAGATTAAAAGAATGAATTATGTGAGAGAATTAGAATTTTAATGAAAAGAAAAACCTAAAAGTAAGTTTGAGATAAGTTTTGGTGGGTAATCTATAACATACTAAACATGACTTAAATAAGACAGTTTTGTTATAATTTCAAATTATATATTAATCATTTAAAGATTATGAATAACATAATTTTATATTTTCGTACTTATTTTAATTTATGGGAAATAATATTTTTGGTTCTTGAAGTTTAGATTTGATTCATGTTTGGTCTCTAAGATTTCGCTGAGTAATAATTTAGTCATTGCAGTTTGAATAATGGTCTTGAATTAGGTTCACCAATTATTGATAAATCGATTTTTTGTGTTTGGGATTCATGGACCTAGTGATAAAGATATTCTTGGGGAGAATCAGATAATAAAAAGAGGAGAGAATAGGAGAGAGAAGAATCTAGGGTCGACCAATGGGTCTGGTGTGCTAGCATAAATGTGAAGGGAGGGTTTGACTTTTTGTTCGAGATATATGACTTAACTAATTAAACTATTCTCTTAGTCAAAAGACTTAAAACTAAAAATTACTTAATCTAATTTTCAATAATCACTCCAAGAAATAACGTTAACAATGACACCGATCTTAAAACATATAAGAAAGTTAAAATAACGTTGCTAAAACTTTAAACAACCATTCAATTTCTATTCTCTATCTCTCTCCCCATTCAATTTTCATCCTAAATCTTCCTTCTCATTCAATTTCAATTGTAAATCTCTCTCTTCCATTAAATTTCGATTTTCTCGCTCCCATTCAATTTTAACTTTATCTCTCTCATTTAATTTCAATTTTAAATCACCCACCCTCTCACTCCCATTCAATTTGGATTTTAAATCTCTCACAATTTCAACAAGTAAATTTGAGAAGGAAGGTTTCACCAAGGAAAGAAGCAAAATTTAATCCCATTGAATTTTAATTTTTCTTTACTTAATTTAAATTTTACATAATTTAAATTTCAACATGCTAAGAAACCCATCTAAACTTTGAAAATGAAAGGAGGTAGTGAAGAAAAAGCAGGGAGAAAAACTTGAAAACCGACCTCAACCCAAAAGCTTAAGCTGATCGTAGGGGTTCGAATATAGGACCACCCGCTCTGATACCATCTTAAGATAGATAAATCACCACTCAACCCAAAAGCTTAAGTTAATGGACAGGGTAAATTTCATTCATTTATTGGATATCTAATAAAACCGACTAATTTTGGGTATGTTGTACTAAAAAAAGACTAAATTTGGGTAGGTTCGGTCTTGTATCAAAACCGACCCGACTAACTTACACCCCTACTAAAAGTATCTTTTCCGCAACATTTAGAAAAAGTGTTGCTGAAAATGTAGTTTATGCAACCTAAGTTGGAATACTAAGGCCGCTTTAGCAATATTCCAATTTCTTATTTCTCATTTCTTCCATTTTAATAAAAGAACATAATTGCATAGGGTATCCATTTCATGTTTTATTTTTATGTCTTTTATGAAAAGAAGGTCACAATTAAATTATAAACTCAAGAAGTAAAAATTTAATATGAAAATTAATTTTTAGATTAAATATTAAAATTTTTATGTCATTGTTACTTTTTAATATTTATGATACATTTTATAAGTCTAACAATATTTTTATTCATGTTTTGAAAAATATTTAAAATTAGAAGGAAAAAACAAAAAACTTGATTTCGATGTTTCTAAAAATTTCATACAATTTTCAGAATGTTTATAAACACATGGAAAACAAGAAACATAAATAGTTGTCAATAAAACCTTTATATAATCTCAAAAAATTACACATTCCATAATCAAAGTAATGATTCACACAAAACTCATGAGATGATCACAAAGAATTGTATTGCTTTCATTAAAGGTCAAATGGATGTTGGGAGCATGTGATGGACACTCATAAATTTAGAATCAACAAGACCTGTTTGGAATAGACAACTTTACTTGTATTGAAATTTCTACCAAAATATACACTTACTTGCCAATCTCTCTTGTTTTTTTTTTCGCTACACACTTGTTCGAAATACATGAAAAGATTATCCGACTTATAGGACTCCATGGAAATATCTAAATTGATACAATAAATCTTGTTGATGCGTGGATTTCGGTCCTCCGGTTCTCCTCCTCGCACCCACCAAACTTGTTGATCTGGGACTAGTACCTGCAAAACCAAATCGAGCTAAACCGGTGTGACTCTAGTCACACGGGCTCCGATGCTTAAGTTAGTAAGAGAACAAGGTAAATGTAGTCACTTCTTCGCCCCCTTTACCTCTAAGGCTGGATCACTACTTATAGCGTGGAGTTGTTCCAGAACTTTTCATAGCTAACCCTAATTCACCGTTGCAGGGCCTGGGTGGAATCGTCGATCGAAGATGGGGGATCGTTGGCTGGGCCGTGGACCGAGGCCCGGGTCCGGACCGAGCACCGGGTCGGGACCGAGCCCTCTCGGCCCGGTTAGTTCTCCGTCAGCCGCTTTCCTCGCTCTTTGCCCTGGCATTAGGTCGTTTTTGTTCTCTATAACAATGGCCCCCACTCTCAAAACAGAACACGAATAATTGTCTAAAGATCTTTGTTTTGAGAGTACTTGTCGCTTGTCGTTATCACAAGACCGTTGTATATCAATGGCTAAAAATGAGAAGG